TAAAGACGCTCATTTAAGACTCTCTGTCAACCAGAATGCCTCTACACCTTTCACCAAGGTTCTTCGCAGTTGCCATGGCCGAAATCACATAGTCATACCAGCCGTTCTTTAGATTCTCAAATTTGTGAAAAAGTAACAATTTACGATCAAATGTTCTACTCAGTGCTAAGGGCAATAATGAATCTTGTTTTAAAGACCATAAATACAGGACAGTCTAGGTGGATGCCTTGGATTATAAAGGATTGAAGAGCAAAACAATCAAAAACAACAAATTGGAAGTTTCGTGGACCACAAAACCTCCGGTGATGTGTGCAATGCATGCCGGTCGACAGAGAGTCTTAAACATGAATTTAATTTGTTTTTTCTTTATGAATTATTAATGAGTTTCTGAAGCTCTTGAAAGCGACCACCCTCTCTTGTTTTAGCATGTGGTAGCTTACGAGAGCTCATTCTTGTAAGCAACCATCTAAGTAAAAAGGACCACCTTTCAAATTTCCAAGGTGGTTACTCACATGAGGTTCAAATGTATTCCATTCAAACAGTGGTGACCCACACGGCAGACCAGGAGATTCAGTCTGTATCCTGGAGACTTCTGGATAATCTGGGAGAGTTGGTTTTTGTCTCTGAACAGGTTACCAATGAGAGTAAAAAAAATTAGGCACGCAAAGTGAGCCTAATAATTATTAAGCAGAGTGGGATTTTTCTCTCTCCAGATCACTCTCATCTAGCTCTACCCGCCTTTTTTTTCCTTCCCCTATAATGTGAGTGGGAGCTAAGTTGGTAGAGATCTTAGATGCGAATTGAGAAGTTGTGTGCGCCACCTTTGCTATTCCTTGATATACAGGCAATATTTGTGTCAAAGCTTTACCCTGCAAATCCTTTTCTGAACCTGCAAATCCTTTTCTGAATGGCATTTGGTTTTTGAATTCAGTTGGGTCTTTATGACAACCTTTATTAAGTGGTACATACACGTTTTCCTTGGGTAGTCTCTCATTGCTTACACAACCGTCTCCTCAGGTGGCATTAAATGACACCAAACTCTAAACATTGCTTACTGTTTCAGTCATTAGAGACGACATTCTTTCAGACCTTTCTCGTACATTATATGGTTTGACACGCTGCTGCAAAATCAGCAAAAATAACTCTGAAGCTCATAGTCATTGTGTCAATTTTAACTATTTTGACTTTCTCCTATTGTGTCAGGATATTTTGGACCTATCTGATCAAAGACATCAGAGGTCAAGAAAAAGACAGAAAAGACCAGAAAATGGTGTCACGTCTGCTGCAGTTTATTGATCGTTATTAAGACTCTATTTACTTTGACTCTATTTACATTGTTCAACGTTCACTTATCTTGGAAATCCAATTAGCAAATCATTTGTCACATGCTTGGTAAAATAGCAAATCGTGTATCACATTTTGATATCCCATTCCATGTTACATGGCTAATATGGTCTCAGTCATGCATCACCCTGGTAATTTTGGGGTGATCACTTGTCACGCAAAAAACCCTTTGCCACCCTCACTGACAGTCTGTGTGGCAGTCTCTGTGTTCATGTCTGCCTAATTTCTTTACAGCACCTAGATACCTAAGGATAGTGTAACATTGGTTTTAAATGTCAAGCATTTAATGTCAACATTTCAAACATTATGAATTCTGGCTGACTCTGTGCTATATCCATACGTTAACAATGTTAGATGCTTGTGTACATAATTTTAATTAACACATTCTTTACATATGTGGCAAGGCATACAGTGTACAGGGGTTTCATTAAGGGCCAGGCACTGGGCAAATTGACCAGCTGTGGGACAATTTTGCCTGCCTGGTTTGACCATCTAGAGGAAAGTTCTTTTTTAGAATTTCAGTTCAAATTAGTTTTGCCCTCCTGTTGAAAACATAATAATGAAACCCCTGGCATACACCTGAGTCATACCACTACAACTGGATTCTGGAGAAATTATTTAATTAGTGAATTCTTCCTGTCATATACATAAAGGATATTTTAGCCTTAATACTGATAGTTTAAGTTCCCAAGGTCCTAGTGCAACAGTTTACTTCATTCCGATTTCTTCTCTCAATTAGCAGCATT